TAGTAGTAGTAGTAGTAGTAGTAGTAGTAGTAGTAGTAGTAGTAGTAACGAGGCGAACACGTAAGCAATATGAACTGTTAGATGGATTTAGTGTCAGAGCCCTTGTATTCAGTCATCATGGCCGTTTACACCAGCCCGGTGCCTGGCCCAATGATGCCGATGCTATGGTGGTGGCGGAGATCTCTTGGAACAAAGGTGGTCCCTCAGAGCATCCTTCTGGACAAAGGCCAGGAGCCAAAGGACCCGTGTGGTTCAAATCCTCCACAATGATCCGGTGCCTTACAATGTGAACCGTGGAACACCTCCTTTGTGGAATCCTAGTAGTACGGCCAGGAGCCCCTAGTAGCTTCTTGCTCCTAGAAGCGATGCCCTTTGCTCCTGGTAGCTTCTTGTTACTAGGAGTAAGGCCAGGAGCCCCTAGTAGCGTCCTTGCTCCTAGTAGCGATGCCCTTTGCTCCTAGTAACTTCTTCCTGGCTTTTGACTTTTAACCAAGTGGCGCAATCTCGTCCGCAAAAGGCTTCGTTTTGGACTGAAGAGACTTTAACACATTCGCAGCTTCATCTCCGACGATGTCCGGCCTCTGTGCTAGGGTTTGACCCACCTTGACAAAGACAGGGCCCAGCTTTTGTAGGCTGCCTTTGAGATATTCTCCACCTAGAAGAGTTGCGACGTCAAAAGCTGATTATACAAGCCTTTGTCAGCCCCACTCTAGGAGGTGTGTGACTATTGAGCCATTAGGTTTGGAGTATTATAGCGATAAAAGCATGTATGATGTGTGACTTGCCTCGCCACAACTGCATTGGCATACTGTACTATTCTATTGTATTCTATTGGGCATATATATATAACATATTATACTATCTGTCTAGGTCTTAGTGAAGTAAGCAGCATCTGCAATGAGAACCTTCTGGGTGGGTGATTGTTACGACTTGATGCTATTAATGAAGATACACACAATTGCTTTGTAAACGAGTGACGGCTAGTACCCTCTCTTGGATTCGTCCAAACTTGCCAGGCAGGTAGAAGAACTTGCCCGATCTCATAGAAACGGCGCAGAATCAAATGTGGCCGTCGGCTAAAGAATCGAAACCTCAGCAAAGCAGCTATGGCATGCATTAGCAATTCTATACTTACAGTTTTTCTGAGGTCAACTAGCCAAGTAGCAACATTTGAGCGCTTCTGAAAACTTTGATAGATTCCTATGTCAATCTATGTCATAACACATGGCTTGCACGAAAGTTTACGCAGCGCCTAGGCGACTGCAGTTTTAGCTCACGCATAGTGGGTTGATTACGCTACGCAACCTTACGCAACTAGAGGTTTTGCTTACGCCCCACAATATGACAATGTGACACAACGTCTTAACGAAGCTTGAGCAGCCCTTATGCGACCAAAGCCTTTGCTTAAAGGGATCACGCAAAAGGGTCATTTGACGTCTACTCTTCAAGTATTCTATAAAGTTGCCAAAATCAACTTGACGACAAAAGCAACATGTTTTTGTTTCCCAGCAATCAGCATTTGACTCAACGTCTTCGATCCAACCAAACGTGAACAATCAACTCTCACAATAAAAACACATTAAGCACGTTCGGGCTAATGCAAACAAGGAGCATTTTATCTCTTGAAAATCCATCACGCAAAAGCTCATCATATTCACTGTCGCGTTCTTGCTGCACAAGCCAGGCTTCTATCACCGGGCTCGCAGCCCTTGAAACCAATCGGCGCTGTGGCGCTCTGGACCCTCTGGGCGCTGTGAACAAAGGTGGCAGGATTGATATGATTGATTGCAGAAGAAACACAAGAAACGAAAGGGCAGCGAGCTTCAAGAGACGACGAGGTGAAACCATCACGAAGTTCGAGGCATTGCTGAATGGAGGTCGCTTCACAGGCGGATCATGTCTACAAACTTAGGAAACACGAGGACTTGAGCAGAAACAAGCGAGGGATTCGAGGTCCTTTCAAATGCAGTACAACAACAAAAGGGTTGATGCCCCACCTTGCTGTGGACACACACACAAAGCCCTAGAGGAATCAAACGGCAACTTGAGGGCAATACAAGTGACTCATCTCAGTCCAACCAACTTTGTTTTTCAGTGGTCCGTCTGGATAGAAGAATGGACACATACGGATCACTCACCTCACAGTCACAAGAATCTGTTACAATGTGAGGATTATACTGTACACTCCATGATAGCGGCCTGTGGCCTCGACGAATGAATCCAAGTTATCGCTTGTGCTTTGATGTTTATTGATTGGTCGCAACACAGGTCATGGGACCGGATCTATGTTGTAGAGCAAACGCTTCAAGACAGTTTTCCGGGCAAACCAGCCCTATGCGATCATAACACAGCATATTGTAGCCATACTTGTCTGCGTTCCATAGCCACAAGTACACAACCGTATTATTCATAGGCCATCGGAGGCCATCGCTGGTATATAGTTTCATGTACAGTATTGGTATTCCTTTCATTTCCTTTGCATCTCTGCCAAAGCCGCCTGTCTGAAGCCAGCTGTAGCTAGGCCCAGCTAGGCTAGACTGTACTGACTGCCTGCGCTCATGAAAGCTTCACACTGGTGCCTGGAAGGGTCTCTCGATTTTTCAGCTTGCCCAGCCTCAAGAGCCACAAAACACATCTGTAATTTCAATCTTCCTTCAACTCCTTGTTGTGGCTTGTTGCGCTCTGAAACCTCTATGTCTCCGGACGTATATCCAACCATGGGCGGCACAAACAATTTTTTGGGTTTTGTGGCGGTGCTGAGAAGTTTTGGCAAGTTTTTGATTTGCTTGCAAACTGTGGAAACTTCAACCACAACCATGAGCAAAGAGATGCTTAGCATGTCAGTCTGTGACAACCTGTTTTACCTACTGTATATATAGAGACATGACCAGAACACCTCCCCTGTGACTCTTCAGGAATCGAACGGATGGCTACAGAAGTGTTGAACGAAGCACAGCCCCGCACTACGCAGGGCATAGTGAAGAAAACTGCAAATGTTTTGGCACGTACTAGGGGCTCCTGGCATCGCTACTAGGAGCAAGAAGCTACTAGGAGCTTTTTAGCTATGTGAAGCAGGGAAGCACTGAGTCCTTCAACCAGCATGGCCGCAAGGGGCGAGGCGTCCAAAAACTTCCAGTGGCGTCTTTACAGCCTAGTAGTTAGCTTCTATTTAGTTCTTTCAATGTTAATTCTATTTCTTTCCTGTGTCTAATAGCTTCTTGTTACTACTACTAATGCCAGGAGCTACTAGTAGCTTCTTGCTTCTAGTAAGGTGCCTTGCTACTAGTAGCGATGCACTATAGTAGTGTCAAACGTTTTCTTAACGATTGGCCAATGTCTTTAGCCGATCTTCAGTGAAACTCCCGCACAGTGCTGTACATGTTGCCATTGCCTAGCTACTTGAATTCAGAAGGTCCAACAGCTAAATCCAAACACAATCCCGGACGTGCGTGAAAAAAAAAAAACAGTAGGAAAACAACATGCTGTGTAGCTTGTTGGGCCCGCAATTCCACAATTGAGCATCGTGCTGCTTGCAAACAAGCTGCACAAATTCGATGCTACAAGTAGGTAGGTGGATCACTTAGATCCAGTGTCAGGTGCTGACGTTGGCGCCTCACGCGCGAGATGAAACAGGGCACCTTTGGTCACAACAACCCAACGTGCCAACATGCACAAAACCACACACAATGCAACTACAACGTTTGCCTTCACAGCGTGACATGGACTTGCATGCTCGTCTTGATTTCTTCTCACTGCCTTTCCCTTCTCCCAGTGATCCAACTTGCCCTCCACAAAATGGCCCACATACGCCTGAGTTTCATCCCAGAAACAAACAAAATACATTCACTGCACTTCACTTCAAACCACTTTGCTCCTGGGCTCAATTCTGCTTTTGCCACTAGGACCCTCACGCCGCCATTCCGGTCTGTCAGGATGCCGCGACCATGTTGCACTCCATCCTGCACTCTAAGGCAAGTCTTCAACACGTTCCTGAGGACACCTTTCAACTTGAGTAGAAACAAGAAACTACTAGGAACAAGTGCATCGCTTCTAGTAACAAGTGCCTTACTAGTACAAACAAGAAGCTAGTAGAAACAAGTGCCACGCTACTAGTACTGTAACAGGTGCCTTACTAGTAGTAACAAAGTTTCTCTAAACATCGTCACAAGTCGCTCCCACCTCCCTGGCGGATTGTTCGGACCCTTCAGCTGAAAAACTGGTCTTTTGATTTCATACCTTCCATGTGCCTCTAAATTCTCTAGATCCCTCTAAGCCCCCACATGCTAGCTGATTATCTAACTGTTTACGTAGTCGGAGGGTGAGGAGGGGTAATTGTGCAAGTCGAAGACCTTAGGCTCCTCATGGTTCCTCAAATTAAACGACCATACAAACGTTCGCGGGAGCACCCCCAATTCGCACGATTGCTGTCTACAGTACATTTTGTGTCTACTGCAGTATACTGCAAAATGGTTGAAGCATTGTCTGATGTTCCTTTTCGTATGTTCTTCCTTGTCTTCCGTCCTTTCAACGGATCATGATATGCCGCATATGCCCTCCTTCCAAGCACCTTCGTAGCTCATCCACTTACCGGAAGTCCAAGCCTCTCCATGTGGTTGCAAATCGGAGCAGCATGCATGTCCCCACACTAACCAATGTCCTTGAGCCGTTAATTGGGCACGAAAAAATGCGTGCAAACAAATCGTGCCCTCCAAAAGCACTTGGAATCCGTACCATCTTCCCCAGTCCATGCCGTTTGTTGGCAGCAAATTCCCCTTTGTACCTGAAGCTGGGCAAACTATAAATTTGATTGCAAAAACGGGGCAGTAAAGAGTATATATGACATCAATTCAATTTGGTGTGTCAAACATCTGCTGGCTTTATGCGTTGTGTCGTGACACTACAGTTCTTGAACCAATTTGCACTCACCTGGTGTCAATCCCGGTGCTTTGTGACAACAAAGCAAAGCTCACTCCACGCCATCTACCCACTGCATGCAGCCATAGCCAGACATGCAGTCCTGCTGGTTGGTATCAATCCGTTTCTTGTTGCATATCAAATTCTAGATGCAACAATGATAAACCATACCAAATCATAGCAACATGTACATGATTGTACATGCATACGGAAGCTTGCAGGAATCCGATGAAGGCCTACTTGTGGCATTTCTGATCTTCCGCTTGTTTGTGGCTCTTATATTGAGACTTCTACGCTTTGATGACCCGGCCTGCACGAACTGCCCTCGGTATACTGAGTTGTCTGTTCCTCGGTAAATTGGTTCTGCTTTTGGTGTTGCTCAACAATCAGCTGACTTCTAATTCTATTTATATTCTAGTAGCTTCTTGTTTCTAATAGCAAACATTGTTCCTAGTAGTAAGGCCAGGAGCCCCTAGTAGCGATGCCCTTTGTTCCTAGCTTCTTGTTCTCAACAAACAAGTCAAAGGAGTCACGCCCTCACTGTAAAGGGATCCCAGCGAATCAATTCGCCATCACCATTTGCGCGGCCTCGCTCAAACATCCCAGTGTACCTGCAGGAATGCACCATATGTAGATATTTGCAAGTGTGACATGGTTTCTTTGATTTTCTTTGCTTGCGTGTTCAAGTGGATGTTCAAAAGGACAATGCAAGTACATGTACAGTATAAGTCAAGTCCCATCATCCTGGATGTCCAATCAACGCCAACATGGCGGTGTTGCCTCGATCCTTCAGGCCAGGTCATAGTGCCATGACCATGACGCATGCCTCGTACCTTTCCGCTTGCCAGTTCGAAGTTCTATCATCTCATAAGATGCTATCTATCAAGTTTGTACAAGATTACACAAGTAAGATCCAGCAAACTTTTAAGCACTTTGTGCATTTGTGCGACACGCACACACACACAGATCGACGAATTACTCTATGTTCACAATTTTGTCCCGTGGTGATACATTCTCAGCTAGAATACTTTGGAAGCAAAGCTGCAACGAATTAAATAACATTCTCTATCTTTGACTTCCCTTCAACACAGCTTGTGCCAAGGACACATACAGTCCGGAGAAGACAGTGCCATCTGCCCAATGTTCTTTCCTCGGGTGATAGAGATATTTAAAATCTGGTCGTTCTCCTTAATGACCTGTGAATTTGTCGCAGTGTGAAACATGTGGAGCCAAGTCAGGCGAATGCAATGTAGTGCAGTGATTGAGGCTCCGCACCCGGGTCCATGTCGTTCATCATTGCACCATTCGGACTCGTGCTTCGTGCCATCCTGACCCCGAATCGCTGGCCATTGATGTTTTCAAACTTAAACAATCGACAATTGTCGACAATTCAACAAATTCACCCCTCGCTCCGGAAGGTGTAAAACGCCATGGCCGTGGCGCATGTAGTGGAGGAATTCTCCTGTACCAAGACCCACAGTCACAGTCAAGTATATATATATATAATATCATCTGACAAGTGGAAGGCAAGATCAATCAAGAGGATGCTCTGCAAGCTTCTCCTTCATAGCAGGAGTTGTTTGGGTAAAGGACTTTCCTGGAATTGCCAGCATCAAAACCCAACGCAGTCACCAGCCTAATCCAGCACATGAAGTCGATTCTGCAATACTACTTTTTTTTTAAATTATCCTTGTGGATTATATGATGTATGAATGGACATGTAGATGTTTCTTGATGTTCCTTGTTCACAAAACACTCCAGCACATGCCTTCACAGACTAACGTGAACTTGGAATAAGACATGCCTGATTCACCCACAACCGTCTTTTGGTATGCTTGTAGAGGGCGTCTCATCATCCCTAGTCGTAGTTGTGGAGGCTGTATCAGCCTGTGCTTTCGGGCCATTGGCTTCAGAAAGTGCTTGTTTGCGGCTCACGATGTAGCGACGTAGCTACCTCTGGCCAAGCACCTGACCATCACACCTCGGCCGCGGGTTTTGAGCAAGTAGACCAAGAAGTGGCCGAAGACGTCTCGTTGAGAACCTGTGTTTTCGTCTCGTCTTTTTGTCAAGTTTTGATTCCATGAAGCAAAAATCAAAGAGGCTGGCCGTTGCGAAAGAGGAAGGAAAATGAGCGTGCCGGTGTCTGCAGAATCAATGCCTTGAGAAGAACGCCGTTTGTGGTTATTGTGATACATCTGTGACAAACAAGACTGTAGAATTGAAGAAAACTCCCCAAAGCCCAAAAGCAACGAAAAGCAAAAGCTCTACTTGGCGCTTTGCCCTGCGTGAGAAGTCTTGCACACTTTTGCGCCTCGAGACGGTCATTGATGAAAGGCTAAGGTGCATGTCCCCAGCCATGCCTAGCGGCCTAGCCTCTGGCAGAATTTTTTGAACTCAGGGCTCTCCAGGTCCTCGGCAAAACATGCAATTTTTTGAAAACACAAACATGTGTGAAGGAAACATTCGAGATCATTCGAGCCTTACAAAGGTCCACCAAGTCATCTAAAGAGATACCCACTGTCCCATTGCGACCTGCGAAATAAGTGTCACATCCTGCTCGTAGCCTGCTAGTTCCTTTGTCAAACACTATCTGTGAAGCCTTGATGCACTTCCACCATCATGTTCCTCCGATCAGCAAGCTTTAGGATGACAAGTTGCTTGTGATGCCTGTCTTATTGCATCAAAAGTCCAGTAGTAACCGTAACCTCAACTATCTCACACAGTCACATAAAGCAACTCGCCAATGAAATGGCAGCAAATTATTAAACAAGAACAAGTATCAAGTTTGAGTTGTCGGACTCAGTCCTGCTATCAACATGAAGGCGTCGTTCATAAGGCTTGCCATTGGTTGCAATCTGGCGAAAACACACTCAATGATAGCCTAAATACATTTTAGAACTCATTTTAGAACTCAGTGATAGCCCTCTCCTAAAAGTTGGACAAGGAGAGTTAGTAGCTTCTTGTTCCTACAGTAGTAGTAAGGCCAGGAGCCCCTAGTAGCGTCCTTGCTCCTAGTGGCGATGCCAGGGGCCCCTAGTAGCTTCTTGTTCCTGCTCGTGGCCTTCGTACAAAAAAGGCCATCTTTCTCCAGCAAGTTGGACCACCGACGAATCCATGCATCGTCCAAGCCAGATATGTCCTCAGGCACTTGAAACATCTGAGATCCCGAAATTATTGACTAAAAGACTGCCAAGGCAGAATTCAGTGTCAGTCCTGATCCAGGATGCTCTCCTTCGTTCCTACAAGCGGAATAAATTTCCATGTGTTTTCAGGAAGTAGCTTCGTTGACTGCAGTGTTGGTGATGAATCCTGTCCTTGCACAGCTCCACTTTCATTGGAATAATGAAACTGGCAGCACAATAAATACTAGACATATCGCATCAATGAAAGCTACACAGCTTCCAATTATACTGTTTTCCACTTGCAACACTAGCGATCTTGACATAAGCTTGCTTTGAATCACGGCAGGCGCACGAAACGGCTCAGAAAAGACCTGAGCTTTACGCTTCAATTGTCGCACAAAAAGAAAAAAAACAAGGACTCCAAGGCTGTAAATTCCTTAGGCCTTTGCGGCTTTTCCTTGGAGTCTTTGGAGTCCTCAATTCAACAGGAAACAAAGTAGACAAATGGAAACACATGTATCAAACAAAATAAGTGGCACATTCACATTCGGTTCAAATACTATCTCTTGACATCATGGACGTGGAAACAAACTGGACAAGCTACCCCAACAAGCCAATCTTCTGAAAGACTGCACTTGGCACTTTGAGCTTACTCTGAAGCATGAAAGCCTAAAGAATTGTTTCTGGCTAAAGTACCCTTGTGCATGGGAATTTGATACATGAAGGCTGTGCTTGTCCTGCGCAAGTCGTGACACTTGAGGTACCCTTGGAGTTTGGGTCCATACCGATTGTTCGCACACTGCCAATCCTTCATGTGCTGCTTTTGTGCCAACTCGTGAGCACTGCTGGGAAGGTCCTGGCTGCTCTGATTCCCGCATGTTGTGGTGACCTTGTGCTGTGAATATGGTAATAGCCAAAACAACTAACAGGTCAGGTGAACTATTTTGCTGTGCCATGTGATGAGCCAACAAGGGAGTCGCAAACACAGGAACCGTGACTCATATATCTCTCGCTCCTCACTGGCATCTTCGTTGTAGCCACGCTGTCTTGTGGCTCTTATCACCCTGACGATCGAAACCAACGAAGAATGCTTGATTGTCAAAACACTCTCTAAAACCAATCAAGGGCCTTCTCGGAAAACCTCTACTTTGGACTGTGGAAACTGCATTTCTGGACAACTCTTTCATGTTTCCCTTAAGAGGATTTTAACTGGGCCCATGGCGATGAATGATGTGCCATGAGGGCATCCAAATCGGTTCTGTGCCTGGCAGGACTATTGCAATTCATGTAGGTCAAACATGATTTATTTGTTGTGATGCTGTGGGAACAAAATCCGACATAATCATCAAATCTCTCCCAAATACAGATTCCCTGCATACGCCTCTCGTAGTTTATGTGCACTGAAACATCAGAGTCCTGACAAACATGAATGGCTGATGACATGCTCACTCGAACTTACCTCCTCTAAGAAGTTCGAGTCCTCCAACGTCACACTGCGACCAGTTGTGACATGTTGTGACAAACTTATTTTAGGTCTATAAGAATGGTGCAAAGCAATAGGCTTAAGAAACGCTGTCTGGTAAGTATTGCTGCGCCAAATCCAATAGTCTCCTCGCCGGACTCTGACTTCTCGAAGTCACTTTCCTGTGCAGTTGGTATTCTCCGCTTGGAAGCATCGACAACAGTTGACAAATCTCAATTCTTCTTGTGGTTCATACCAATCAATTCCATCGGCAAATTTTTGCTCTCCGATGTGGTGTGGTGGTATAAACAAAGAAACCCAAAATTCAATTGCTGAAGCCATACAACCTCTTCTTCCTGACCGTCTTGCTCCTGCTGATGGTTGACGCAACATCTTGGCTCAGTTTGCAACTCTAGTGTTCTCGTAGAGGCTTAATTAATTGGGTCCTGCAGAAGCACCTCTGGCTGATTCAACATCTCCTCCTAGGTATGTGTTGCCACACACTTCTCGTAGGTAGGGTTACAGAGTGATTTTGCAAATGTACACAATGCGGCGATTGTCCTTCCAAGTGGACACCTGCTCGCAATGGGTTAAGTGGCATTTCAGCCATGTGCCCACGGTGAACTCTTCCAATCTTCCAAAGATTTCTATTTGATTGCCGCACGCATCTTATTCTTGTATATTTTGTTTGAAGACTTGCAAGCACCATCGTCGAATTATGTCACCAAGTCACTCGTGCGTCGCATTGAAAGCCCGGCAGTTTTTCGGGTGGAGGCCTTGGCTTCAAATGACGCAGCTGAAGCATTTGCAGCAGACTTGTTTGCCTTTCTTCTCTTCAGGGGAAAACAATTGCAAACCTTTGTGCCAGCCTCCTTGTTGTGTTCGTTGAAACTCAGGGCACTTAAAAGAATGGCTCATAATGGCTTATATAATGATCTTAATGCAAAAGTGAGTCCAAATGTTTGTGGCCATTTGCTTACTGTGCCATCTGCCCAAAACAGGATGTGTTCCAACAAAGCAGGTTTCCGGGTTTCCAGGCGGCGACAAGGGAAGCTGCGCATCAGGGAAAGCCACCTGGGTGCTGACTAAAATTGGATGCCTGTTAAGCTGCTTCCACACCTTCGACTGTCCATGGTTTTACAGCAAAGCTTTGCTTCTCACAAAGCAAGCACGAAATTCTGAGTCAACATGGGTGTAAGTATCTCATTGATCCTCCTTGCCTCTTTGCAAACCTCTCGACATCATCCGCAGCTTTTTTCCAGCGCTTTGGCTGCACGAACACATAGAGATTTGAATCGGCCGCCTGTGAACACCCTGCACAAAAATATGAAGGAAAGCGTGATGTTGCCTGGCCAAATTTCACCCGGCCTACCCGTAGCCGCTAGCCGCGCTCAGGCTTTCCTATTATTCAGGATAGAGCTAGAGCTGCGGCACAGGTTCCAGCTAGGGGAATTGATCACGTGTCACCAAAGAAGAGGACGACTACGTGCTTTCTTCGATCCATTGTTCTCACGGCTTCGGTCCCTTCAAGAAACAGTCGGTGTACGCGTAGATTCAGACACATTGGATAGACTGGCATGAAGATCGTCACAAGAATCATTACCCTCTTCCACATGAGTGGAGCTGCTGCGCACACGATCCTGTCACATTTGGCATGACTAATCGTTGGCAATCAGGTTACCGCACACATTACAAAATGACAAAACACGCTGTTTCACACGATAACTGCTCCTCACACCACAATTACTATTCAATTTATTCATGTTGTTGCTGCTGTTGTTGTCTTTTTTTGTGGTAGTGTCGGTTCTACTGTTTGCGTTGAGCATGAATGAGAACTTCTGGAACTCCAGGGTTGGGCTTGGGTTTTGTATGGAGGGTCGCTTCATCATTGATGCTCTGTGTCCAACAAATCCAAATGAGAGCATTTGAATTGGTTCACTACTCATGGACTAGTCAGGCTCAGTTGAACATTTAACATGGGCCTTCATCATGCACTGGTCAACACGTGTTTCTTCTGCGTGTGTCTGAATGCTCTTATACAAATTCAAATGCATACAAATGCACCAGAAATAATAATCAAAAAAACAACATCCTGGACAATATGGTCGCGCTAAGTAGGTTGCTTTGAGAAATAGTATGTGGAGGTAAGGTGTTGGGATTACTTCTATTATTGTTTCCTGGCAGTTCCTGAAGCTCCTATAAAAATCAACTTGCTTTCTTGACTGTCAAATTTGCTTCTTTTGAGCTCCTAATGGCTGACCTTTTGAATGCTTCCTTTGACACATGTTATTTTCCTTTGGGAATACATTGGTCTAACCATGTCAAAACCTCGTGTTTCAACAGTCATGCACATATCTTATTATACAAACGAATCAAATCTCCAACCTCCTTATTTGAGAAACCTCGGGGCTTCAAACAGAATAAACAAAACGCAAACAAAACGAGAGAGAAAGAGAGGGACAAAAGACAGAGAGAGACAAATAGAGAAATAGAGAGAGAGAGAGAAGGAGAGATGGGGAGCGAGAGAGAGAGGAGAGAGAGGGAGAGAGGGAGAGATGGAGAGAGAGAGAGAGAGGGAAAGAAAAAGAGAAAGAGTGGAGAGAGAGGGAAAGAAAAAGAGAAAGAGTGGAGAGAGAGAGAGAGTGTGATAACGAGAGAGAGAGAGAGAGTAGAAAAAGAGAGAGAGAGAGAGCGCAAGAAAGGAAAAGGCTCGGAAGGGACGACCGCTGAGCAATGCAAAAATGAAAGGAAAAGGAGTCAAAGTTACGAAGCATCCTAACTGTGGCCGTAGATGCAACAAAATATCGATATGTACAAACTATTTCAGCATATATACATTAAATACCGAGAACCAAATTGATAGAAACAGCAAGCTGAATTGAGTGAAGGGACCTCCAAGACAGCCTCCGCGCGGTTGACCGCAAAGGATGCCTTCAAGGAACAATGACGAGTACTCTCATGCTTGGCTGATGACTCCTGCCTGTGTGGTCGGTCACAATAGACTCATGAACAAAGCACACAACCACTCTGCTTGATGTAGCTATATACTACGCACAAGTTACTTGTGTATATATATATCGGTATTTCAAGGCATCTGTTGAACCTAGTCTAATATAGTTTAATGATGTTTAATAATCAACAGTGGCGTCCAGTTACATCCACCATGTAAATCAGTTGTGGGAGGCAGCAACCATTTGATGCAAGCCATTGCAAATCCAAAGACCATGGAGTCTCAAGCGAACTTGAATCAAATCATTAAACTTGTGTTCTTAGACTTTGAAGCCCTGAAAGGTTCAGAATTCATGTCTTTCATTGCAGCTGCGGTGCTGCGCCCAGCAAGGTCATGACCTGCATTTTAGGGAACAGTATCAAATCCAACAAATGCATTGCAAGCTCTGAGAAGCTGAGGACAGTGCAACACTGGCATATCTCCACCACGACACAGGCAACGGTGGTGCAAAAAGGCCAACCGTGTCAGCAAAAGCCGCTGTACTCAATTTGCCTCGCGGACTGCTGAGCAAGAATTTGAGACAGCGTGCTGAAGACCCATATGTATAAAGGCATAGACCACCAGGCAGTTATAAATAAACAGTCTTGACAAAACTATTTCCAATTGTTTCAAGGGGATGAAACAATAGTCGTGGCATTTCAATGTTTTAGATATTTGCTAAGATCTCGTACATCTCGAGACTCCACGCTGATTGCATTTTATTAGAACTCTGTCAAAACATGATAAAACTATAAACAGGCAAGAACAATGCCAAAACAGATTTCTAAGGGGCAGTCCACCCATACCCTTGTATTAATTCATACATTGTAATGTAGTTTCCAAATAGAACTATATCGTAATAGTAGCAATAATATTATATATATGTGATTCTTGAATGGGATGCAACCATCTATCAGAATAGTTTCCCTAAAAGCAAATTCACCACTGAAGTTCCTATAGATTTCCAAAAACAATGAATGCATGCTTGTCCTGACAAGTGACAAAAACATGTACAAAACTATTCACCTGTTCTGGCCTGCTGTGATCAGAATGAAAGTGGGAGAATACCCAAGGCTTTTTGGCAGCTCGGCCAAAGAACATGTGTAGAAGGCTGATTGAAAACCACATAGTAGCCAAATCCACCAGTCCGAGGCCCGAAATTCCAGAGGCACATCAGCCTTGACCTACGGCCGCTTGAACACTGGACCAACATGACATATCATGAGATGCAACATTATCTGTGTCATCAGTCACTATGTCATGTTGTAGTCATAGTCATAGCCATAGCTATTATTATAATGCTACAACATAAGGAAACATCCACGGGCACAAAAACACGCCCTTACGTCAGCTGCGTTTGCAACAGGTCACTTATTCCCCCACCTCTTGGATATACACAGCAAAAAAACTTTCCCGAGTGTTGTCATTGATCCACCGCCGCTCTTCAAGAACACTCGCAGCACACTTCTCACAATGAAAGACTGGAGTTCTGTCAAGTGAGAAGCGGGAACACAAAAAAGCCTTCAGGTTTAGTACCTACGGCTTGAGTGCCGCAGGCCCTGAAAATGCCTATAAACAAGCCAGAAAGCCTAAATCAACAGGATCAAAGAACGGCATCCGACTGTATAGACTCCAAAGTCTGAATAGCTCAAAAGTGCGAAAACGTTCCAAGGGATCGACGGCTCGTTTACGAGCAAAAACTCCAAGCATCCAAATAAACACAAGCGCTTGACTGCAATTCAGTGCAACTGACGACGAAGACTTGCTCCAGATACAATTGGGGGCCCAGAAGGTAGTGTCGAGTTATCACAGGTAGATCACTGGACCTCTCCAGCGATATGGCAGAATGTCTTGAGTCTTAACTGTCTTCGTTGGCTACAGAACTATGACATTCCATGCAGCCCCCTGCTTCGTAGTGAACACACCTCTCACCATCAGGAACACGTCGCCCCAAGTTTCATCCAAGCGGCAAGCACAAAACAAGTGGGTAGACCCCAAATCATCGCCGTGATGTTACAGAACGCTGCAGACCGAGCAGATGACCCCAAATCAAGTGCCAAACGCTTGTTCATCTTGGCCTCCAGGGACCCAAGTTGGCACAATATCCACGTGGACAAACCATGGTGACAAATTACTGAACCAAAACCACAACGTGAACATGAAACGCAAACTGCAGTCCATCTCGAAAGCAACCTGTCACAATTATAGCGTTGTAGGGTGCAGTCGCTGTATTTTCACCCAGGCCGTACTTCCAATACCTCGGCCTACTCAAACTCTTGCCTTTCTCTTGCAAGCATTCCCTGTATCTAGGTTGGAGGCCATCAGTCTTAGGGGTCTGTCTGAGCAAACGCGCAAGGTTTCCACTCACTGGAGGCCTGCAGGCTGTAGGAAATGCCAGCTCCAACTGCCCCTAAAGCATACAGCACACAAGTGATCTCGTTTCCAGACCTCAATTTAGTGGCTAATGAGGGTAAGGATGCATCGGCGTTCATGACTTGGACAAGTGTATGCTGTATACGATGGGCATCTTAAGTTTGACTTTTCCTGGCAGAGTGTGTATTCGCATCAGGTAACAGGTATCTACACATATCTATATATATACACTGTATATATCAAACATGTTATTTAAAGGCTTACGCCTGACAGCCGGGCGCCGGCCCAACAGAGGAAAAAAGTAGGACGGCACGATGTGGTTGTCTCCGTCTCCGTCTCTGTCTTCTCTGTCTTCTCTGTCGCTGTCTCTGTCTTCTCTGTCTCTGTCTCTCTCTCTCTCTCTCCTCTCCTCTCCCTGTCTGTCTCGGTCTCTGTCTCTGTCTCTGTCTGTGTCCGTCTCTGTCTCTGTCGTCTCTGTCTTCTCTGTCTTCTCTGTCTCTGCTGTGTGGGGCCTATGTGGCCACATCTTGAGGCTATCTTGGCCCATCTACGGGCTATGCTTCCCATATCTGGGACCGATGTAGGGTCATCTTGCGGCTATGTGTGCCATATCTGAGACCTATGCTGGGTAATCTGGAGGGCCAGGTTCTGTCCGCCCGGCGCCAATTACCGACACCACCCTTGAAAAACCCAGTGTTTTTGCATTTCTCCCTCTTCGCCGCGCCGCGTCCCCTTTCAGTATGCGCAATAAACCCTGTAAAGCACAGTGTTTTGTGTACCTCAGCCGTTGCTGTTGGAACGTGCCCGACACCCACGAAATGTCGATTAATCCTGTCCGCGCGGCGTGCATTACCGACACCACCCTTGAAAAATACAGCATTTTTGCATTTCTCCCTCTACGCCGCGTCGCACTTCTGTATGCGCAATAAACCCTGTAAAACACAGTGTTTTGTGCACTTCACACACACACACGAAACACTGTAAAACACATGACCTGAGGTAGGAGGTGAACACGTGTGGTCGGCGGCAGGGGGCGCCGTTCCCTAAAACTGGGCGCAACACGGGCTGGCCCAGGGGCCGGCGCCCGGATTTAGTATACTTGAGAGGAGGGAGACACGAAAGGTAGGACAGCGGGAAGAGAAGAGAACGCGAGAGGCAGGAACAAAAATGCAATGTTCGACATGGTGATTTATCCCCTCGGAGGCGACCTTTCGTAAACATAATTTCATACGCACTCTAAATGTTCAAACATGTGCTCTCGAAATGTTCAAAAAGATTCTTAGGAAAACAAACTTGCCCCATGGCTCAGATCATCGGTGAGCATTGAATCGGAACATCATAGGATTTGAACTATCCTGAAACCATAAGAGGCTCACGAAAACGCTCCCCAGGAGAGAATTGACGTGCTTCACAAAACAAACTCTAGGTATGTATCCCCTCGGGGAACACCTTTCGTGATTAGAATTTCATATTCACTCTTTCTGAATGTTCAAGAGGGTTTCAACTATCCTGAAATCATGAGAGGCTCGCGAAGACGATCTCCAGGAGAGAATTGATTTTAGAGGGGGGGAGGGGG